TTGTTCACTGAGCCCTTGATGTATGCCCCTGATGTAGCAGTAAGCTGCTACCAAGTCCCCTCTCAGCCTTCTCTTTTTTAGGCTGAAGAGTCCCAGGTCCCTCAGCCTCACCGGAGACTTGCATGGCAAGCCATATGAGGTCATACAGGTGGCCCTTCTCTGGACTCTCTCAAGCTTTTCCACATCCTTGTTGAAGTGCGGTGCCCAGAACTGGATGCAGTACTCCAGCTGCGGTCTCACCAATGCTGAGTAGAGCTGAAGAATCATTTCTTTGGTTTTGCTGGAGATGTATCGATTGATGCACGCCAGAGTATTTTATTTGCCCTGGTGATTACAGAATTGTACTGTCGGCTCCTGTTCATACTGTGGTCAATTATTACCCCCAGCTCTCTTTCATTCATAGTGCTGGTCAGATTGGCGTTGCCAAGCCTGTAGGTGTGCAGGGGATTGTTCGTCCCCAGGTGAAGCACTTTACATTGCCCAATGTTAAACCTCATCTGGTTCTGATCCTCCCAACTTGCCAGCCTGTCTAGTTCCACATGTATCTGCAGCCTATCTTCAGGCGTGATCGCGCTTCCCCATAACTTGGTGTCATCTGTGAACTTGGCCAGGTCCCTTCCAACCTTAATTTTCTATATCACCCTTGTAGCACAGTCAGTACCCCACAGACACACTTCACTGTTGAAGACTTTTAAGCAGCTTGATCTAGCCTGACCATCCTCCAGATAGTGGTATGGCCCATCACCCATATCTCGGTGCCAGGATCTGGTCCTCAATAGGGTTTTTGGAGGGTTTTTTTAGCCAGAGATCTGCAAGTTGATTTATGGGGTAACTATAATACTAGGGGAACTTTGAAAGTGGAGAAGATGATTGTTGTTTTAACATGTTGATTTAGACCACGTGCCTACGTACAAGAAGTTCAGTGCTAGCATGTGTATACACATATGGTTTGTCAAGCTGCTACCTAAATGCAGTACAGTTAATGTTTCTGTGTTTCATATCGTGGATGTCCTGACAGGCTACAAACAAGCTTGGAATAATGCACCAACGGTCTGCTCGCATCAGGGGACATCTTGCAGTGATACTGTCTGTAATGCTGAAGTACACTAGGGAGTGGTGCTTGTGTATGCAGCTGGCAAGTAGCCAAAATGTTATCTTCATTTTAAACCTTTACACTGAGTTTAACAATTCTAAGTAGTAGAGGTGCACTGATACGTCGGTCCATATCATATCGGTACCAATAAAAGGAAAATTGACATAATTGGTAATCGGCTTTTTTTGGCTGCTGTGGCCGATAATGTCACTTATAAATCTGTGCATGCGCATAGCCACAGCATGCATGCAGCCACTGGGGGACTTGGGTGGAGGGAGTGGCTTCTGCTGCTCCATGCACCTGCAGGGGGAGGCATGTGGAGCACTTGCCCCCCAGATCTGTGAGTGGGGCAAGAGCAGGCTGCCACTGTGTGCTGGGGGTGGCACCAGGCTCTTTCTGGTGGGGGGGACTGGGGCTGGGCTAGGGCTGCACTTGGGGCAGGCAGCAGTAGTGCTGGGAGGAAGGGCTGTGGGGGGTGGCTACAGCCACCTCAGAATTCACTGTAGCCTCCCCGAACCCCCACTCCCAGTGCTGCTGCTGTCTGCTCCAAATGCAGCCTTGGCCCAGTCCCCACCTCTCACCAGGAAGAGACCAGCGCTGCCCCCGTCCTCAGCTCACAGCGGCAGCTGCCCTTGCCTCGCACACAGTTCCAGGAGGCACATGCCCCCTATGCCATCCCCCCCACCATGAGCTGCTCGTGACTTCGTCCTGCCCCAGCCCCACTCCCTCCCTCACCATGGGCAGCCTCAATCTGCCCTCCCTACATCCCCTCCTTCCCTCTACCTCTTCCCCACAACTGACTTGCTAGCTGGATGCTGCTCTCCAAGCTGCCATGCTGCATATTGGCAATCAGATCGGTATCAGCTGATATGGCTCGTTAATAATCAGCCATCAATATCAGCCCCAAAAAATCTTTCAGTGCACCCCTACTAAATATTAAAACAATGCAGCTTTTTGGTGAACAACTAAAAGCCACCTCTTCCCTCATCCATGCTCAATGTTTGATTAGCTGGTAGCTTCTGTATTTTTATAACAACAACCTAATTTCTAGCAGTTGCTTTTTAACTTGTTGATTGAATAAGATGAATTAAAAAAAAAAAAAAAAAAGAAGATTGCTCACAGTAAAAAAACAAAACAACATAAGAGTGTGTGTGTTTGTAGGAATGCAGTGGTACAGAGTATGATGCAACCAGTGTGAGCCAATAAAAAATTACAAGTCCTTGTGCAGATCCAGTAATTTGACATGGACAGAAGTAGACAGAATTGTGAAGATCAGAGTAGTTGTTTTAACCCCTGGTAACCAAGCAGCATATGTTCTCATTTGTATATCTCTCTAAAGTTTTAACATTGCTATAATAAAATGTGTAAATGATCTAAAATTGAAGCTGCTCAAGTCAAGGAATGTAAAAGATTAGTTTGAAATGTACTTTGTGTTCTGTCACTATCGTGTCTACAGTTAATTGCTTTCTAAAAATATGCACCTTTGTGCTTAGATCTGAGGGCATGCATTGCATCGCAAAAACCTAATTGATTTCTTTTAAAGAATGCTGTTAGGATAGGGTTTTTAAAAAAGGCATTTTCTTGTGGTAATATTTGAGGTAGTTGTGTAATCTTTAATGGGACGCAATTTAGAGAATGGAAAGAACGGTTCCTTCTAATACATTAACCATTGGCAAACTGTTGACAGCGGTGTTTTAAAACAATTCTTATCTTTGGTTTAGGTTTAGTTATTACAGCTAAAAGTATTTACATTTTTATATCAGTTTTTATAGTGTGTGGAGACTAAAGATAAGGACCTTAATCCATATTAGACACAGAAGTAGAAGTAGTAATTTGTTTTGGTTTTTTTTTTTAGAAATGCAAGATACTCCTAAGCTCCTCCCTCCTTCTTCTGTAAAGGGCCTGCTAGTTACAGCACTCAACCAAGAAGCAGGCTCAGGTTCAGCACTGTCTGAAAGATTGAAACCACTTTTCAGGAGATGGTCCTGATCACATCAGGCTATAGGTTTTTGATGTAATAATGTAATGGGCCAGAGTGATAGTGAACAAGCCTTTGTAGCATAGTAGTTAGGGTAGAGTACTCACTTGGGAGTATGGAGATTATGGTTATTCTCCTTGTTTCAAACACTGTTTATATTTCTTATCCAGTTGCTTTTTTAATGTGGGAGGAAATGTATAAAGGGGAAGAAGGGGATGGCAGCACCACCACTTCCTCCTCCTGGAGCTCTTTTTGAAAGGCAGGACTCTGGAGCTATGTTTCAGGAGAGGGGTTAGGCTTGGGTGATTGTAGATAACTTGCAACCTAGAGTTAGGTGTCTGAGTCCTAATTAGGCTGGGGATTTTAAGATGCACACCTTGTCATGGTTTCGTTCTGACCAGTCTAGGTTACTTCCTGCTTGGTGGGATGGGTGTTGTAAATCCCATTCTTTGTTTCCTTATTCTGCCCATGTTCTGTGTGGGTGGTTTAGATGCCGAACTTGTGCCTGTGGATTCTGGTTTGGAGGGTGCAGGATTGAAAGCTGGGTGTCACAACATCCAAGTTCCTTGGTCAACCTAAACACTGGTATATTTAAAAAAGATTCTGCTTTTATTTAGATGCAAACACTTGTGTTTAACATTTGATTTTTGTAGAACTGGTCCCAATGATTTAACACAGGTTTAAGTGTTTGCAGAACTGTGGCATAAGTATAGATTTAGAAGCTGAAATTATGTACTCAGTTCCAAAAACTATGGTCTAGTTTCTCAGCTGTTCTCTTCATTATTTTAGCTTTTGGGCATCTGTTGGATTCCCTTGGCATGGGGTGAACCTCAGCTGACATGCAACCATTTCAGTTTCCTGCGTGATTATTCATGTGTCCTTAGAATGGGAAAAAGGTGTGCTTGTAATGCTAATATGAGCTGACATATTGCTGTGGATCCACCTGTGGGGCCAGCAGAGAACCAACACCAGGACAAGGATCATGCAACCATTTTTTTTGCCATGTTTAGTAATGGCTGGCATGGGCAAAAGATCTAGTTGAGTGGTACTCAACTTCTGGCCCATTGCCCAAATGCAGCCTGCAGAGCCATGTTATCTGGCTTTTGGGCTTCCCACCAGTCTGGGAATTTGGCAGGGGAGAGGTGGCAGTGTTAATTGCCACAGCAAAGCCCAGACCTGCAGTAGTTAGCACAGCGGTCATTCTTTCACCACCAAATTTCCAGACCCATGGGGAGCCCCACCAGCCAGATAGCACCTCTGTGTGGAGTTAGGCTGGTGTGCAGGGTCCTACTGCTGCTGGATCTAGTGCACAGGGAATTGCACCCTTGAACTGATTCCTTGCACAGTATCCAGCCTGCAGACCAATGTTGCACCACTCATTTGGCTCACAGGGCTGGGTCAGTTGAACAACTTTGCTTTAGCCCAGGGGTGGGCAATTATTTGGGCCTGAGGGCCACATATGGGAGTTTTGATCAGCTGTTACAGGCTGTCAGCAGCCCTCCCTCCTCCCCCCAACAGTTTACCAAAGGTCCTTATGGGGCTGTAGGGGCAGGTGGGAGCAGTGTTCAGGAGTGAAGTGGGAGGGAAGGGAGAGGCTGGGATCATATGCCCCTGCCTTTGGAAGGGTGAGAAGGCCTGCCTGGGCACTAGATCCTGGGAGCCTGCTGTGGGTAAGGGGGAGGGGGAACGGGGAGGGTTAGTGCAGTCCATGATACCCCCATGGCACTCCACATAGTGCTGAACCCTGCCCGCTCACGCCAGGGCAGCCCACACCATGCTCCTGCTGGGAGCGTGGTGTGGTGTGGCAGGAGCAAGAGGAGGAGCAGTTGCTGGAGGCACGGGGCTCAGAGCAGCACTCAACTGGCTGCAGCCACCTTGGGAACAGCCCACTGGAAACTGCTCCAGCTCCCAGGAAGATGGCTGGGAGCTGAAGGCAGAGCTTGGTGTTGGGACAGGAGCCACCAGGCTGAAGCTGCTCACCCACCTGCCTGGAATGGTATGGCACAGTGCAGCAGGAGCAGCTTCTGGTGGGCTGTTCTCAGTGCTGTCCCCTGCCATGTGAAGCGCTGCAGGGGCAGCTGTGGGCCAGATCCAGTCACCTGGTGGGATGGATTTGACCCACAGGCTGTATTTTTCCCACCCCTGATCTAGCCCCTATAATTCTTTTGAGCAAGTAAATTTTTGTTAATTTGACTACATTGTTTAAAATACAGAGTGAGCACTTCACAGATTGATAACAACTTATTTTTTTTAGTAAAATGTAACCACACTTTAATTTTGTCTTTCACTAACATTGATTTTTATTTTTTACATAATAATTTTCTAATGAAGCCATATTTACTAAACTGATCTGGATATTCCAGAGCATTAATGGCAAAGTGAATGATTTTAAGTTAATTTTGCTTAACAAAATGGACTTAAATTCAAACATGGATTTTTATTTGCAACGGAGGATAATGTATGATACAATTTTAGACTTGCTTTGTTTAATTTTGACCATTCAGCTAAGTACTCAATAACAGTATGTAGGTTTGCATTGTTTTCCACCAGAGCTACCTTAAATTCAAATATGGAAGCTTTCCACCAGATTTAGTATCAATATTACATATCCTGCACATAAGCAGTTTTCTAGCATTTTTGCAAACTCTGTTTCGCTCACACAAGAGTTTCATAGCAGATAGTGTGTTCATAGTTATCAAAGGGAGATGAACGTAATTTAGTTGGAAGAAACAAATATAAGCTACTGAAGAGAGATTCTTTGAAAAACCTATTTTTCCCCTGGAGTAGAAAGATTGCATTAAAATCAAGTTTAAATTTACCAAAACTCAACTGGATCCAGGACAAGATTCTTAACCTCAAAGTAATATTGTGTAAAGAGAATGATTGTTCAGTTGTTTACTTTGAGAGGTGAAGAAATTAACTTAACGTGGCAGCTAGGAAGGTTTAGCAGTTGTACATAATCAACAGAGAACAACTCCCCCTCATCCCCTTTTTTTCCTCACTCTGAATTGTTACTGTCTAAGGGCCTTACCCTAGATCAGGAGTTCCCAAACTGTGGTACATGCACCCCTGGGGGAGCACTCAAGACTTCTCTGGGGGGTACATGGGAGAAATTGTGTAATGGCATATTTAATTTTCATAATAATAATTGGCATTTAATGGGGTTAAAATATAAAATGGATGCTGGTAGGAGTGCATTGGCAGCTGGTAAATCTGGAAGGGGCTATGCGATAAGCAACAGTTTGGGATCCTCTTCCATAGATCCAGGGAAGCTCCAGTCAAAAGTATGTTCACATTGTCTATAGGGATTTCCTACATTGTAGAATTTGCAGTCTACTATTCAGAGATTCGATTTTCCAAATGCAGTCTGCTTTATTGTAACCCTAAAGTGTCAGAGTTTGTTTTGAATAACTGAAGAACTAGAGTTGGATGTGCATAATGAAGTTTTTGTAAAAGATGAGGTTTTTTGTTGTTGTTTTTTTTTTCCAGATATCTCTCCCAACCGTACAGCTGGTCTAATTAAAGATATATCACACACAAGTTTTGTGTCTCATACATCATTTTAAATCAGCCAGATCTGCCCATGAGTTAAGTACCAAGTCAGCTGCTGTTCAACTGACTCTTCAGTTCAGGATAAACGGTGTGCAGTGCTATTTAAACTAACAGTTGACAGATTGCTCATAAGGACTGCTGAAGCGGTGATATTTGCCAGTTCATGCAGGGTGTAAAACTCATTTCTTTACGTAAATCAACCTTTTTTTAGGCTCAACCCCACTGTACAGTAGGAAACATGTTGCTTATAGTTATGTATATAACTATATATGTATAGTTAGCCTTCGATCTGGTTTCCCATGATCACCTCTTGGAGAAACTGGCCAATTGTTGCCTTGGGTCCTCCACGATCCACTGGCTGGAAAATTGGCTCCGTGGTAGGACCCAGAGGGTAGTAATTGATGGAAGTCACTCATCATGGTGTCCTGTGACCAGTGGGGTCCCCCAACGCTCTGGCCTTGGACCCATACTGTTCAACATCTTCATTAATGATGTGGACACTCGAGTCAGAAGCAGACTGGCCAAGTTCGCCGATGACACCAAACTTTGTGGCAAAGCATCCACACCAGAAGACAGGCGGGTGATCCAGGCTGACCTGGACAGGCTCAGCAAGTGGGCGGATGAGAATCTGATGGTGTTCAACGCCGATAAATGCAAGGTTCTCCACCTTGGGAAGAAAAACCCGCAGCATCCTTATAGGCTCGGCACTGCTATGTTGGCTAGCACTAAGGAAGAAAGAGACTTGGGGGTCATCATTGACCACAAGATGAACATGAGCCTGCAGTGCGATGCTGCGGCTAGTAAAGTGACCAAAACGCTGGCTTGCATCCATAGATACTTCTCAAGCAAATCCCGGTACGTCTTTCTCCCCTTGTACTCGGCCTTAGTGAGGCCGCAGCTGGAGTCCTGCGTCCAGTTTTGGGCTCCACAATTCAAAAACGATGTGGAGAATTTAGCCTGGAAAAGCGCAGGCTCAGGGATGATCTGATGGCCACCTATAAGTTTATCAGGGGTGACCACCAGTATCTGGGGGAACGTTTGTTCACCAGAGTGCCCCAAGGGATGACGACTAGGTCGAATGGTCATAAACTACGACAAGACCGTTTCAGGCTGTACATAAGGAAGAATTTCTTTACTGTCCGAGCCCCCAAGGTCTGGAACAGCCTGCCACTGGAGGTGGTTCAAGCGCCTACATTGAACACCTTCAAGAGCAAACTGGATGCTTATCTTGCTGGGATCCTATGACCCCAGCTGACTTCCTGCCCTTTGGGCAGGGGGCTGGACTCGATGATCTTCCGAGGTCCCTTCCAGCCCTAATGTCTATGAAATCTATGTGCCAGCAAAAAGTTTAACTGTAAGCATAAACCAGCACAAACCAAGTTTGGTAACTTTTCAGAAAAACATGCAGGCACTTAGCTGTTTCAGTATCTCATTTTTTCAGGACACGGTACAAAATTCTTTTAGTTGTTTGTACCTTGCAATAAACTTTTGTTTTCAGCACCAAGGGGGAAATTGAGATCACTGGTTTATATTAGAATCATAGAAAGTTGGGATTGGAAGGAACCTCAGGAGGTCATCTAGTCCAACCCCCTGCTTGAAGTAGGACCATCTTTAACTAGATCATCCCAGCCAAGGCTTTGTCTACCAGGTCTTATAAACCTCCAAGGATGGAGCTTCCGTCACCTCTATGGGTTAACCTGTTCCAGTGTTTTTCTCGCTAGGAGAGGATAGTACATTCTTCCTAATATCTAACTTACACTTCCCTTGCTGCAACTTGAGATCATTGTTCCTTGTTCTGTCATCTGCCAGCACTGAGAACTGTCTTGCATATGTTAAGAATAGATGGGAAGCACTGTTGGGCACTTAGGACTTTTAAAAATCTTTCTGCCCCATTGCATTTCTAAATGGAAGCAGCAAAGCATGTTTTCTTTGCCAAATTCTAGTGATTAAATACTGGGTCAAGAATTCTTTTTGAAAATTTAAGTTACAAAAGGTAGGTTTTAATACACAATGGGTGGATTTTTGTGTTTGTGTATTTGTAAATGTCATTCTCCTGGTATGAGATCTCTAAATCTGTATTTGTTATAGTTAGCAGTAACGATCAATTTGGTAAATGCCAATATTTTATATTTTTAAGGTGTTATTTCTGTTTGTGGCAGAGGTTTTGTGGGGTGTGTGTAATTGTATGGATAGTTGGTGGAATTAATTGATATGCCTTCTTTCACAATGTTTTTGGCTTGTTAATCATTACTTGTCTTTGTCTTCTTGCTGTAACTCTGATTTCCCTTTCTTCTACAGATTGATTATACAGGCATAGAGCCTACTAGTCCCTGCAACAAATGCTTAAATGTATCCTGGAATAGCACACCATCATGTACTTGCACCATTAACTTTACACTAGATCATCCATTTGAGGTCTGTTATGTTGTGTAAGGTGGCATTAAATAACTCTTAATTTTAATTTAGTATTCGTGCTTTTATGTCATGATTGATAGTCCTGGTTTCAAACAATCATTGCTCTTGTAAGCTATAATAGTAGTTTAAGTCACATCTTCAGTTTTCTGTTGTTTGAGCTCTGCTGCACTTCTAAACTCTAAGCATTGTATTTTGGAGGAACATTTTACTTCACATAACGTTGATAACTCATTCCTCTCTTCTTTTTTTCTGACCAGCTTATCTTTGTATGTTTTGTCTCCAAACTACGTGGTACAAAATAACTGATGCTATCCTTACTTGATTTATTATTAGAGGTGCACCGATACATTGGTCTATATTGTATCGGCACCGATAAAAGGAAAACTAATGTTATCAGCAATTGGCTTTTTTTGGCTGCTGTGGCCAATAATGTTGCTGATTAAATGCTGCGTGCATGCATGCAGCCATAACATGCATGCAGCAAGCCCGACAGATTGCAGAGCAGCATCCAACTGGTAAGTCTTGTCGGGGGTGGGGGAGGAAAAGGGTGTGGGGGAGGCAGATTGAGGCCCCTGGGGTGAAGGAGGGGCTGGGGCTGGGGCAGGCGCTGTCCAGCCAGGGCAGAACATGGGACGAAGCTGCAAGCAGTTTGTCTGGGGGGTCCAGGGAGGGGGTTGGATCCCACTGCTATATGCACCACTGGGAGAGCCATGGTGGGGCGTGTGCCCCCCAGATATGTGCGCAGGGAGAGGGCGAACTGCCTCTGCAGGCTTGGGCTGGGGGTGGTGTTGGGCTTCTCCTGGTGGGGGTTTGGGCCGGAGCTGCCCTCGGGGCGGGCAGCGGCGGCTCTGTGAGGGGGTCCTACAGCAATTATTGGGGTAACTGTAGCTCAACCCGTAGCCTTCCTCCTCCACTCCAGCGCTGCTGCTGCCCACCCCAAGCACAGCCGTGGCCCAACCCCCTGCCAGGAAGAGTTCGGCACTGCCCCAGGCCTCAGTCCACAACGGCAACCTGCCCTTGCCCCACTCACAGATCATGGGGGCATGCCACCCATGGCTCCCCCATGGGTGTGCGTAGTGGTTGGATCCACCCTCTCCCCCCTCCCTGAGTCCCCTGGATGAGCCACTCGTGGCTCCGTCCTGCACCCTACTCCGTCCTAGCTGGGCAGCCTCTGCCCCAGCCCTACTGCCTCCCTCACCATAGGGGCCTCGATCTGCACCCCCCACACCCCTTCCCTCCCCTCACCTGTTCCCTCACCTCAAAAGACTTACCAGCCAGATGCTGCTTTCCAAGCTGCAGGGCTGCATATCAGTCATCGGTATCAGCCTAAAAATACCTTTATCGTTGCACCCCTATTTATTACTCGCTCATGCATTTATAGCAGCATTTGGAACATATAAGTCCTCAATCTATAGATTTGCCCTCTAAGTCTTAGACTATGTAATTCATTGGGATGGAGGTACGTTTCAATACTTCTTTCTCTAGATTACCACAGATAGTAGGAGTTGTAAAAGCTACCGTGTATAGAGTTGTGGCCTTAGCTGAAACTGTCAGTTAATGCAGGTTTGTGGTTCAGTTCTATATTGGGCTTGTCCTTAATGTCATAGTAGAACTATAGATGGGATAATATGTGGCAGTATTAGCTTAGATTTGCTGGTGATATCTTAATGACCGTGAAT